TTTTTCACATGTGGTTATTCTGCATATAATATATATATATATATATATATATATATATATATATATATATATATATATATATATATATATATATATATATATAACTGAAAACTCACACCCCAGAAGTGACTCGAACCCATACTCCCAGATGCCACGCAACTGGTATGTACAAGATGCCTTAATCCACTTGACCATCACGACTGGACAAAATGAGGTGATAGCCGAGGCTATTTGAACCACCCCACCGCCGGCACTCGGATAGTAATCTTGGGCATAGCATTTTACCAAATCACCTCATTCTTTGGGGCACACGTGAGGAACACAAATGCGAACAAGCCTGAATGGTCCCCAGGACAATATGCAACTGAAAACTCACACCCCAGAAGTGACTCGAACCCATACTCCCAGATGCCACGCAACTGGTATGTACAAGACGCCTTAATCCACTTGACCATCACGACCGGACAAAATGAGGTGATAGCCGAGGCTATTTGAACCACCCCACCGCCGGCACTCGGATAGTAATCTTGGGCATAGCATTTTACCAAATCACCTCATTCTTTGGGGCACACGTGAGGAACACAAATGCGAACAAGCCTGAATGGTCCCCAGGACAATATGCAACTGAAAACTCACACCCCAGAAGTGACTCGAACCCATACTCCCAGATGCCACGCAACTGGTATGTACAAGACACCTTAATCCACTTGACCATCACGACCGGACAAAATGAGGTGATAGCCGAGGCTATTTGACCCACCCCACCGCCGGCACTCGGATAGTAATCTTGGGCATAGCATTTTACCAAATCACCTCATTCTTTGGGGCACACGTGAGGAACACAAATGCGAACAAGCCTGAATGGACCCCAGGACAATATGCAACTGAAAACTCACACCCCAGAAGTGACTCGAACCCATACTCCCAGATGCCACGCAACTGGTATGTACAAGACGCCTTAATCCACTTGACCATCACGACCGGACAAAATGAGGTGATAGCCGAGGCTATTTGAACCACCCCACCGCCGGCACTCGGATAGTAATCTTGGGTAAGCATTTTACCAAATCACCTCATTCTTTGGGGCACACGTGAGGAACACAAATGTGAACAAGCCTGAATGGTCCCCAGGACAATATGCAACTGAAAACTCACACCCCAGAAGTGAGTTTTCAGTTGCATATTGTCCTGGGGACCATTCAGGCTTGTTCGCATTTGTGTTCCTCACGTGTGCCCCAAAGAATGAGGTAATTTGGTAAAATGCTATGCCCAAGATTACTATCCGAGTGCTGGCGGTGGGGTGGTTCAAATAGCCTCGGCTATCACCTCATTTTGTCCGGTCGTGATGGTCAAGTGGATTAAGGCGTCTTGTACATACCAGTTGCGTGGCATCTGGGAGTATGGGTTCGAGTCACTTCTGGAGTGTGAGTTTTCAGTTGCATATTGTCCTGGGGACCATTCAGGCTTGTTCGCATTTGTGTTCCTCACGTGTGCCCCAAAGAATGAGGTGATTTGGTAAAATGCAATGCCCAAGATTACTATCCGAGTGCCGGCGGTGGGGTGGTTCAAATAGCCTCGGCTATCACCTCATTTTGTCCGGTCGTGATGGTCAAGTGGATTAAGGCGTCTTGTACATACCAGTTGCGTGGCATCTGGGAGTATGGGTTCGAGTCACTTCTGGGGTGTGAGTTTTCAGTTGCATATTGTCCTGGGGACCATTCAGGCTTGTTCACATTTGTGTTCCTCACGTGTGCCCCAAAGAATGAGGTGATTTGGTAAAATGCTATGCCCAAGATTACTATCCGAGTGCCGGCGGTGGGGTGGTTCAAATAGCCTCGGCTATCACCTCATTTTGTCCGGTCGTGATGGTCAAGTGGATTAAGGCGTCTTGTACATACCAGTTGCGTGGCATCTGGGAGTATGGGTTCGAGTCACTTCTGGGGTGTGAGTTTTCAGTTGCATATTGTCCTGGGGACCATTCAGGCTTGTTCGCATTTGTGTTCCTCACGTGTGCCCCAAAGAATGAGGTGATTTGGTAAAATGCTATGCCCAAGATTACTATCCGAGTGCCGGCGGTGGGGTGGTTCAAATAGCCTCGGCTATCACCTCATTTTGTCCGGTCGTGATGGTCAAGTGGATTAAGGCGTCTTGTACATACCAGTTGCGTGGCATCTGGGAGTATGGGTTCGAGTCACTTCTGGGATGTGAGTTTTCAGTTGCATATTGTCCTGGGGACCATTCAGGCTTGTTCGCATTTGTGTTCCTCACGTGTGCCCCAAAGAATGAGGTGATTTGGTAAAATGCTATGCCCAAGATTACTATCCGAGTGCCGGTGGTGGGGTGGTTCAAATAGCCTCGGCTATCACCTCATTTTGTCCGGTCGTGATGGTCAAGTGGATTAAGGCGTCTTGTACATACCAGTTGCGTGGCATCTGGGAGTATGGGTTCGAGTCACTTCTGGGGTGTGAGTTTTCAGTTGCATATTGTCCTGGGGACCATTCAGGCTTGTTCGCATATATATATATATATATATATATATATATATATATATATATATATATATATATATATATATATATATATATATATATATATATATATATATATTTTGGTAGCAGTCTTTCCTGTAGACATATATTATTAAATATGACCGAAAAAGTAAGATTAATAATTCTAACACGAATTTTCTCAATCTTTCGTACATTTCTTTTCACTGTTGGAGGTAATTCAAAAATCAATTCTCCAAAATTCATTTTTATTTCTAGTCTGACGCGACACTTGAGCGCGTTTCGTAAAACTTATTACATTTTCAAAGACTTTACACATACACAACTGAATGGAACTTACATATCTCCGATTTGTTTATATCTACTTTTGAGTGAGGTGGATGTGGTGAGGTGGTATTTAATAGGGTATTAATTTCATCAACACAAGACAGAACACGAAACAATGGGTATTTGAAATGGAAGTGATTGTAGAAAGCCTATTGGTCCATATTTCTTGATGCTTCTATATTGGAGCTGAGTCTTGAGGTGGGTAGAATATAGTTGTGCATTAATTGGCTGTTGATTGCTGGAGTTGACTTCTTAATGTGCAGTGCCTCGCAAACGTCAAGCCGTCTGCTATCGCTGTATCTATCGATGATTTCTGTGTTGTTTACTAGGATTTCTCTGGCGATGGTTTGGTTGTGGGAAGAGATTATATGTTCCTTAATGGAGCCCTGTTGCTTATGCATCGTTAAACGCCTAGAAAGAGATGTTGTTGTCTTGCCTATATATTGGGTTTTTGGAGCTTACAGTCCCCAAGTGGGCATTTGAAGGCATAGACGACGTTGGTCTCTTTTAAAGCGTTCTGCTTTGTGTCTGGAGAGTTTCTCATGAGTAGGCTGGCCGTTTTTCTGGTTTTATAGTAAATCGTCAGTTGTATCCTCTGATTTTTGTCTGTAGGGAAAACGTTTCTATTAACAATATCTTTCAGGACCCTTTCCTCCGTTTTATGAGCTGTGGAAAAGAAGTTCCTGTAAAATAGTCTAATAGGGGGTATAGGTGTTGTGTTAGTTGTCTCTTCAGAGGTTGCATGGCGTTTCACTTTACTTCTTATGATGTCTTCGACGAAACCATTGGAGAAGCCGTTGTTCACTAGGACCTGCCTTACCCTACAGAGTTCTTCGTCGACTTGCTTCCATTCTGAGCTGTGGCTGAGAGCACGGTCGTTCTTCTACTCCCCGAGGCCAGGTTCGACTTGTGAGAGTTTGGTCCAACAGGCTGTTGCTTGGAGCGGCCCGCAGGGCCACATACCCACCACAGCCTTGCTGATCCGGAACTTCTCTTAGAAAACAGTCCAGTTTTCTCTTGAAGATGTCCACGGTTGTTCCGGCAATATTTCTTATAGTCGCTGGGAGGACACTGAACAACCGCGGACCTCTGATGTTTATACAGTGCTCTCTGATTGTGCCTATGGCACCTCTGCTCTTCACTGGTTCAATCTTGCATTTTCTTCCATATCGTTCACTCTAGTACGTTGTTATTTTACTGTGTAGATTTGGGACCTGGCCCTCAATTATTTTCCATGTGTATATTATATGGTATCTCTCTCGTCTCCTGTCTAGAGATTACATTACATTTGGAGAGCTTTGAGACGATCCCAATAATTTAGGTGTTTTATCAAGTCTATGCATGCCGTATAAAACTTTAGACACACACATACCTACCAGGAGACTTGAACTGGCGAGGGTTCAAGTCTCAAGTCAAGTCTCCTGGTGGGTGTCTGTGTGTAAAGTTATTAACTTTAATGAACTTGTGGTTCAGGCAAGTTAGTGCATTAAGCATGGACACCATGTTCTCCCATATAACAGGGCTTGATGGAAAACGTGAATGACCTCTCACTTGCTCTAGTGGTTTTGGGAGGTTGGAAGTATCTGGGTGTAAAATACCCTAGAATTTCCACCTCTTTAAGGCTTTGAGTGTGGTGTAGTTGGTTTAGTGCGTACCTGTACCTGCTATGCCAGTGCTGTGAAGCATCTGTGCTGGTGAGGATTAACCCTCGCCAGCACAGTTCATCTGTTCATCTGCTGCCTACAAAAATTATATTTTAAGACATGAAAAAACAAGTAAATTGAGTTCAAACAACTTGAGCACAAGTTTGACCCTGAGACTGTACTCAGTATGATATGTTTCACACACTACTAAACAAATATCAATAAAGTATCAGTCTCCGTGGTGTAGTGGTAAGACACTCGCCTGGCGTTCCGCGAGCGCTATGTCATGGGTTCGTATCCTGGCCGGGGAAGATTTATTGGGCGCAATTCCTTAACTGTAGCCTCTGTTTAACGCAACAGTAAAATGTGTACTTGGATGAAAAAACGATTCTTCGCGGCGGGGATCGTATTCCAGGGACCTGCCCGAAACGCTACGCATACTAGTGGCTGTACAAGATTGTAACAATTCTTGTATATATCTCAAAAAAAAAAAAAAAAAAAAAAAAAAAGTAAGTAACCTTACCTTCTTATGAGCCCAGACGCCAACAATATCTTTGGCGAAGTTAAAATATTCTGGAGTCTTGAGGTGTTTGTGGAAATGTGACCTGAGGGCGTCATGATCATAGAGGCTGCTTGTAGAGCCACACCTTGCATGTCCTGCTGGGTGACCTGTAAGGGTAACAAGTCCCTCTACAGCCACCACCATCAGTAACCGCAGTCATTAACACATAACTATGTTTCATTGTATACTTAATATTTTAACTAGTGCAGAAACTTCTTATAGAGAACTGTATGCAGCTGGTCAGTATTGTCAACCACGCCACCCATGAACTATCCACACCTTGGACACATACACACACTACTGCTCTACACCACACCACCCATGAACTATCCACACCCTGGACACTCACACTACTGCTCTACACCACACCACCCATGAACTATCCACACCCTGGACACTCACACTACTGCTCTACACCACACCACCCATGAACCATCCACACCCCTGGACACTCACTACTGCCTTATACCACACCACCCACGAACCATCCACACCCTGGACAAACACACACTACTGCTATACACCACACCACTATGTCCTCCGCGATTGTCACGAGCGTAAATTGGGTGTAGAGCAAGGTGGAGCGGAGGGTGTAGAGCAGCTCTCATACAGCTCACAAGTCACACGTAATAATGACTTGTCAACATAACGTAGGTGAGCCCCCGAGGTGACACATCAATGTGAATATTGTGGTTGAAATTAGCCATTACTGAAGAACACGCACTTACTGAAGGGAGGACACTTGACGTTAGTCACTGGCCTGCCTGTGAGGGCCTTCCCTGTCACAACCTGAAAGCCCCTGACGCTCAGAAGAGCCTTGACGCCCTGCAGACGGGGCAGCACGAGGCCAGACATCATCCTCCCTCCACGAGCTTCCTGCTGTCCACCTGAGTGTAAATGTCAGAATTATAATAGAGAAATCTTAAGTGCATTTTAATTTTCTTAAAAGTATGGTTGTTGTTTTACATTCAGCTACTTGGAACAAAACGTTCCAAGTAGCACTTTGGTGAGCCATAGTAGACTTACCTGGCAAAGGAGTAGGGTTGTATGTGGTATGAAGTATATATATATATATATATATATATATATATATATATATATATATATATATATATATATATATATATATATATATATATATATATATATATATATATATATATATATATATTGTCACTGTAAAACCTCTAGGAATAGATTCGGCCTGGTCCATCATCACCTATTCTACCCATATCTCGTCTATGTATTCAAGTACTGCAGCCACAAGAAGAAGAACAACAACAACAACCACTACTTCCAGACGTCTAGACAACACCACCAGTCTACCTACCCCACTGCACATCACCCCACCTCGCACCTGGTTCGCTGGGAGTTCACGCCATCCGAAACAAGCAGTTTAAAAGAGCCGGTTAATAGTTAAAGAAATCACCAGTGCCATCTGCATGGCCATCACCGTATATAAATAGGGCTACCTATCCCACTACTGTTCAGATTACTCCTGCGTGCTCAACTGAATAGACCTGTTAACACATCTCGGTGTGGTAACGGATTTAGTCAGCCTGGCTCACAGTATTTCCGCACCATATTTCATTTTGCACACTAACATAATGTAAATTTGATTGTCTGTTGATCTTGTTTAATTTGCACTCTGTATAAAGCCAAGTTTGGATAATATTTTTATTTTGTAATTTGTGTAAAGTAAGATTAATATTAAAGCTAAGTATTTTTAAATTTTTGTTCTGTATATTTTCTCCTACAGTTAACTTCACCATGAAGACAAATTGCATTCTTAACTATTTTTTCTTTTTTTACTATTGTTTTTGTTTTATGTGACTGGCATTCCGTCTGCCTAGAGAGACTGCAATAACACCTACTATTTTTGTCACATAAATTGGGGGCCTGTCCGAGAGCCTAGCTCAGGTAATGCTTCTAGACCCTTCACTTAAAGTTGTGGTAACTGTACTTGGCTTTATTACAAGTTTAACTTTTCAGAACTCTTATTCTTTGAATAATTTTAATGGTGCTTCATACTGTTTGCTTTCCAGATGTAGCATTATATCATTGTTGGATGACTTTGGATTATGTGGTGTCTTGTGGCCACAGTCATACTCGTGATTGGTCATTAATAATCTTCGCTATATTCTGTTATGTCCACCTTATTCTCGTACCTACAGGAGAGTTCTCATTCAGGCAGATCACCCCCTTTGGTATCCAGGTACTTTGGTCTGTCTTTGGGTCAAGTACACCCACATCTTTGCAACCCGAACGTAGGAGGATATAGAGAGCCAAAGTTCCTCTCACTCGGACTATGCTGTAAGGCTGGGACCCATACAAGCAGTTCTCATCATTAATTGACACTTCGCACCCCTACGCATCGGTCAGAGATATGGTACTTACACAGGTAGGAAGTTAACATCCTTTTCCAGAGCACAAAGATTGTTAATTCTGTAAGTACTATCTAGTTTTAGTAGGAAACCTCTTGCCTTTGTTCTCGTCATTTAGAGTAGTAGTAGGCATCCTTCAGTCTCGGGAGACTATGGAGTTGCGCCCTAGTTGTCAATCCTGGTGCAGTGTCTGGTGTGACTGATGAGGCCAATCCGAGAGTGGCAGTCCATCCCACACCGAGCACAAACGAAGTCCGATTCTGGTCTGTCTTCCTGGTTACTGGCTTTCTTTCTCTGTCTCTTTGCCTACGATTCCTTGGCAAGTGACTCCTCGAACTTGGAGAGACCTCTTTGAACAGACTGCCTCCAGGCTGAACGGTCTGCAGCCAGTGTCTCCCATATAGCAAGATCGACGTCCATGGCTTTCAGGTCCCTCTTGCATACGTCTTTGTACCGTAGCTGGGGCTTGCCTGTTGGACGCTTTCCCTGCATCAGCTCTCTGCACAGGAGATCCTTGGGGATCCTGCCGTCGCTCATTCGCACAACGTGCCCGAGCCAGCGCATTCGTCTCTGTTTCAGCATTGTGTACATGCTGGTGATTCTTGCTCTCCCCAAGACGTTGTTGTTTGTCACCTTGTCCTGCCAGGTGATGTCCAAGATGTGTCAAAGGCAGCGCATGTGGTAGGCATTCAGCTGTCTTTCCTGACGGGCGCGGAGTATCCTAGACTCACTGCCATAAAGGAGAGTGCTCAGGACACAGGCTCTGTAAACCTGAATCTTAGTAAACTAAGTTAGCCTATTGTTGGCCCACACTCTCTTTGTCAGTCTGGACATGGTAGTAGATGCCTTACCGATGCGTTTGTTTAGCTCTGTATCAAGAGAGAGGGAGTCAGAGATTGTGGAGCCCAGGTACACGAAGTCGTCAACGACTTCCAGTTTGGAATCAGAGATGCCGATGTCAGGTGGGGAGTCCACTCCTTGTCCCATGACTTGTGTTTTCTTCAGGCTGATGGTGAGTCCGAAAGCCTGAGAGGCCTCGCTGAAGCGGGTTATGAGCCGTTGGAGGTCTTCAGCTGAGTGGGCAGTGACTGCTGCATCGTCGGCAAAAAGGAAGTCGCGCAGACACCTCAGCCGAACCTTCGTCTTGGCTCTCAGCCTGGCGAGGTTAAAGAGCTTTCCATCCGACCTGGTCCAGAGGTAAATGCCTTCCGTGACAGATCCGAAGGCGTGCCGCAGCATAACTGCGAAGAAAATCCCGAATAGGGTTGGAGCCAGTACACAGCCCTGCTTTACTCCACTTCGGATGTCAAAGGCGTCTGATGTTAGGCCATCAAAGACCACGGTGCCCCTCATGTTATCATGGAAAGATCTGATGATGCTGAGGAGCCTGGGTGGGCATCTGATCTTGGGGAGGATCTTGAACAGGCCATCCCTGCTGACGAGGTCGAAGGCCTTCGTCAGATCTATGAAGGCTACGAAGAGTGGCTGCTTCTGTTCCCTACATTTCTCCTGCAGTTGTCTGAGGGAAAAGACCATGTCAATGGTGGACCTGCCAGCTCTGAATCCGCATTGTGACTTTGGATAGACTCTCTCTGCAAGTACTTGGAGCCTCTTCAATGCGACTCAAGCAAACAGCTTTCCGACAATACTGAGGAGGGAGATTCCACGATAGTTGTTGCAGTCGCCCATCACCTTTATTCTTATACAGCGTGACGATGTTGGCATCCCTCATGTCCTGTGGCACCTCTCCTTCTTCCCAGCAGAGGCAGAGAATTTCATGCAGCTCCATGAGCAGGCTACCTCTACAGCACTTCAAGGTCTCAGCAGGAATGCCATTTTTGCCAGGAGCTTTACCAGAAGCAAGGGAGTCTAGGGCATCGCTGAGTTCTTCCAGGGTCGGTTCGCTGTCGAGCTCCATTAACACAGGCAGACACTCAACGGCGCTCAGAGCATCTTCGGTGACCACATTTTCCCTGGCGTATAGCTCAGAGTAGCGCTTGACCCAGCGCTTCAGCTGCAGTGTCTGGTCCTGAATCACCTCGCCAGTGGCAGATTTCAGAGGAGCGGTCTTCCTCTGGATTGGGCCGAGGGCCTGCTTGATGCCGTCATACATTCCCCTTACATTGCCTGTATCTGCTGCAGTCTGTATCTGGGAGCAGAGCTGGAGCCAATAGTTGTTGGCACATCGCCTGGCGCTCTGCTGCACTTTGCAGCGGACGGTCCGAAGGATCTGTAAGTTGCGCTGACTTGGGCAGGCTTTGTAGGCTGCCAAGGCGTTTCTCTTCTCTTCGATGACAGGTGTCATCTCTTCCGAGTGAGCCTCGAACCAGTCTGCCGACCTGCTGGTCTTCTTGCCAAAGGTGGAAATGGCAGCATTGAACACAGCGTCTCTGAAGTGCTCCCATCTTTTACAGGCAGTGACTCCAGCTGGGTCAGGGAGAGCTTCCTCGAGCACGCATTCAAAATCTTCCACCTTGTCCTGGTTGCGGGTCTTGGTGGTGTCGATGCGAGGTCTGCCCGCCTTTTTCGAGTGATGAATCTTCTTTGGTTGCATCTTGACCCTGCTACATACCAGGGAGTAGTCGGTGTCAAAGACAGCACTCTGGTAGCTACGCATAATCTTGACGCTGGGTAGACTTGCACGCCTGGTAAGAATCAGGTCAAGCTGGTGCCAGTGCTTGGATCTGGGGTGTCTCCAAGATACTCGGTGTTGAGGCTTTGTGCCGAAGAACGTGTTGGTGACACAAAGACCATGAAGGCAGCAGAGTTCTAGCAGACGTTGTCCGTTCTCATTCATCCTCCCTATGCCGAATTGACCCAGACAAGTGGGCCAAATGTTGTGCTCGGCACCCACTTTGGCGTCATTTAGAGACAAGGTTAGAAATCCCTACATTTTTTAGACTACCTTCGAGACAATTGCCTCACAATTAAAGTAGGATCCCTCTCGCCCTTATCCTCATCATATAGAGTACCAGGTACAAGATTCCCTACCTCCTTGAAACACTTAGTTTCATTTTTTATCTTGATTGTAACCTTGATTATTAAGTTTAAACAGGAGAGTGTATCATTGCCATGTCATCCTGTCACTCTAACATTTTATATTTTGGTACATCCACCTGGGTATTCTCTTGCATATATTTGCTATCATTCACCATGTTTCGCCTTTCCACGTTCAGACAGAATCGAAACGATGAAGTGGGCACACTGCATCGTGCCACCAAGGCGGAGATGCTGACTTCAGTAAATGAGTACCACCTTATGGAGCCACTAAAACTGATTTACACAATCTTATTTTGGATTATCTATTGGATAATGATGCAATTACCTCTGAGACTCATGAATAATATTTAATTGCAGATAAGAGCACCTTGGTAGCCATGAAATTGAAGCTAGAACTTGCTAACGCTGAACGCGAAAGTCTGAAGGAACAAGCTGCTCTTCAGAGAGAAGTTCTTCAGCTCCAGAAAGAACAAGCTGCCCTAGAACGTGAGAGGGAACAAGCT